AGAGAGAGAGAGAGAGAGAGAGAGAGAGAGAATGTTGGTATACACCTTGTAGGTGGTGCAGCCATTTTGTTATGGAGTTTGACATTTTTCGTGTTTGTTAGTTGTAAGCTATTTACTAGAGGATTTGATGAAGTTAGTACCTTTTTGGCTAGATACTAGGACAGATGGTATTAATTTATAACAGCAACTAGGAAGTTGAGAAAAAGTTGGAAATAGGGAGAAGTACTTGAGGAGGTAAGGGTGTTACTGTATCTAGAAATAAGACGGATTGTATGTAATGCAAGTTGAGTTTGCACAGATGTCTAGCTTGCCATAGGAAGAGTGAAAGGAGAAGTGAGAGTGAAGGGGAGTGTAGTGCTAAATGCAGACAATTGATATATCTTTTATCTTTCAGGAGAATTGTATAATTGATTGGAAGTAGCTCCTAAGATTGAAATAGGATGGTTAGAGTTGGGAGTCATAGTACAATACGATGAAGCCATCCACAAGATGAATTTTATTGGGATAATATGTTAAGACGAATGCACAGTCGTATATTATCGGATTAGAGGAGATCACATCATAAAGAGGATGCAGTTAGCACACATAAAGATAAAATGAGAGAGCCTCGTGTGCAATTAAATGGGAACGATGGCACCAAGAGGACAAGGAGTCAATATAGTTTAGCAAACATAGAACACGATGGAAGCAAAGGGTTCATAATAAACAACATCAACTAGCTGAATTTAGTAAACAATATCAACTAGCTGAACTTAGGGTTTAGTTGTTGTTGTTGTTGCACTTATTTTAGGTCCGGAAAGGAATAACCATGAAATTTAGTGAACCTTTGGTTCTGTAGAACCTCGAATGTGCTTAACAAGAAACTACTTAGCAATCTTGGTATTAAATAAGCTTGAATGGAGCAGATTATATAGACGATTATATTGTTGGCCACAGTTGAGATTGAGGTGCCATTGGTTTATTGATTGACTAATTGGGGAAGGTGTCCTTCGTGCTAGCTTGTGTTGTATTACCTATACTGCTAAGAGAGGATCAACACCTTATAATGGTCTCTTCATACCCTGCACTTGCTGACAAATGTCTAATAACTATTTGCTTCTAAAAGAAGAAAAATGAGTTGGAAGATTATTTCTTTTGGATTTGATAATCTACTATTGGGGTTATAGAAATGAAACACTATAAAGGATGCTCATGCATAGTGTACCAACGTATCTGGTTGTACCAAAGTATCTGGTCACTCTATAGAATACAGTTTACATGTAAGAATATCTGCATATATGTAGCAGCATACACTCTGTTGCAACAGTCAAAAAGTTGACATCTGTTTGAGTAAAGTAGCAAGGAATAGATGATATGGCTATATGAAGGGGAGGACACTAAACTATTGACAAATTAGTGTATGTTGTTTTGCTCTTTTTTCTTTTGAAGCCTGGGTTATTGTTATGGTAATTGTTTTCTTTGCTTTTATACTTGTATGTAATTGATACTTCCAGTGGAGGTTGATTCCAAGAGTAGTGAACTTGAATTGTTCATACATATTTACTTGGTGAGTCCTGTTTCTTACTCTCCATTTTTCAAATTTACCCCTGGACGCGATTCGAAGTAGTTTTGATTACGAGAGAAGAAAGACTATTATGAGTTCCAATTTCTTGCTGTTTTCTTAGTGGAATACGTACTAACATTTCTTGCTTCCTTACCCCCGAAATGCTTACTCAACTTTGTTTGGTTTTGCATCTCCCAGCATATTTCACCTTGTTTGTTTCCACGACTGTGTATAAATATATTGTTGTTTACATAGTAATTGTGCTGAGGAAACCGCCTTTGTTTAATTTTCAGGCCTAGAAGCTGAAAATGCAGGGAGGAAGAGACCCATTTTCCAATTTTGGTGGCCCTTTTGGTAGTTTTAGTGGTTTTGGTGGATTCGGAGGTCAGAGGAGTTTAGTATCTAGTTTTTTTGGTGGCAGGGACCCATTTGATGATCCTTTCTTCACCTGCCCATTTGGAGGCATATTTGAATCATCCCCTTTTGGTCCTAGCGGAGGCCCTTTCATGGGCTCGCAGTCATCCCCTTTTGGTCCTAGCGGAGGCCCTTTCATGGGCTCGCAGTCATCCCCTTTTGGTTCTATCGGAGGCCCGTTCATGGACTCGCACATGACTGGATTTCTAGAACAACATCCGCCTATCCCCTACCAGCAGCCTAGGTCTAGGGGTCCAGTTATTGAGGAGTTGGACTCTGATGATGAGAAAGAGGAAAAGGAAATTGCAAAAGAGAAGAAACAGAACACGAGAAAGCATGCTAGGGCAAGCACTGAGCCTTCTGTTGAATATCCAGATGATGAAGCTGGAGGTGAACATAGTCCATGATGATTATATGCCTAGTTTACAATTTCATCTCCAGGGTTGTAACTTTCTCTGTCTTATAGGTACTGATTGATGAATAATATTTGCTTTTGCAGAGAGAAAGAGTAAGCAAATGGTATTCCAGAATGATATCCAGAGAATGAATAATGAACAGCAGCCTCAAGTTCGTAGCTTTAGCTTTCAGAGTTCCGCTGTGTCTTATGGTGGTGCAAATGGGACCTATTATACTTCTTCCAAAACCAGGAGGACCGGAAGCGATGGAGTAAGTGATTTTCGACTATAAGCAGTTATAGGACTATAGAGCTTGAGTTTTTTATGGCCTTGCCATATCTTTCATTGTTTGATTTGGATTTGCAGCTGACATTTGAGGAAAGTAAAGAAGCCAATTCAGCTACTGGCCGAGCAAGTCACAGTGTCTCAAGGGGAATCCAGAATAAGGTATGTTTTCTCTCCTGACAGTAATAGAATTCACTATTTTCTTGATTCCGCAAGACCCTTCTTTCTTTGTGCTTGAAATAACTTGATAGAAATTTGTCAATATAGGGTCATTCTGTGTTGCGGAAACTCGACTCAGATGGTAGGGTGGACACAATGCAGACATTGCACAACCTTAATGAAAGTAAGTGCTTCCTAAATTCGAGTCCCCATTTGTTGGTTCCAAGGAACTGCTTCTGACTAAGGTATTTTTTGGTAGATGAACTTACTGGATTTGAACAAGCCTGGAAAGGAAAAGCTAGAAATCAGCTACCTGGCCTGTATGGGGGGCTTAATATACAAGGTGATACTGTTAAGTATACTAGGATATGCAACTATTTCATCGCTG